AGTGGTCCCTCCTTGCAACATGTCCAAAATATGTGAGACGAAGCTTCAGAATCCTTGCCTTCAACGAGCAGCCTGACTTCACCCTTTCTAGGATGAACTTGTTTGTTCTCTTGGCAGTCCATTGTATATTCAATACTATTCTCCAATACCACAGCTCAAAGGCATCAACTCTCCTTATATCGTCCATAGTCATTGTCCAGCTCTCTGATACATAGCAAGTAATTTCAAAGAACATGACCTGTATCAGGTGCACCTTAGTCTCCAGACTGAGATCATTACTCTTCAGTACTCTAGAGAGGTCTCTGACAGAAGACTTTTCCAGTGGAATATCTTTTAATTTCCTGGCCACTGGTACCAAGAGTGTTGATTGTAGAGCCAAGAATACTGAAGCTGTCATCCATCTCAATCTCTTCACCATCTATCATGTTACTGCCAATCAGCCCAATCAGCTTCAATCCATATTGAAGGCTGCAGTCCCTGACATTCTGTAGCAAGTACTTCAGGTTCTCTTGACTTTCAGCAAACAGGGTTGTGTCATTTGCATAACATGGACTGTTGGTGAGTCTACCTCCAATCCTGATGCCACATTTCTTCTCCTAGAGCCCAGCCTCCCAGATAATCTGTTCTGCAGATAGATTGAAAAGATATGATGATAGGACACTATCTTGGCATACATCCTTTCCAATTTTGAACCATGCAGTGTTTCCTTGCTCTGTTCTGATGACTGCCTACTGGTCCAAGTATAGGTTTTGCGTAAGCAAAGTCAAGTGTTCTGGAGATTATCATTCTTCTCAGAGTCAGCCACAATTTGTTGTGATCCACACAGCCAAATGTCTTTGCATAATCAGTAAAACACAGATAGATTTTCCTCTGGTACTCTCTGCTTTCAGCCAATATCCATCTGACATTAGCTATAATATCCCTAGTGCCATTAGCATCAATATCCCTAGTGCCATGGCCTCTTCTAAATCCAGCCTGCCCTTCCGGCAGTTCTCTGTTGATGTGCTATTCCAGTCTTTTTTTTTTATAATCTTCTGCAGAATCTTGCTTGTATATGATATCAATGATACTTTCTACACTCTGTCAGATCACCTTTCTTTGGAGTGAGAACAAATATACATCTCTTCCAGTCTCTTGGCCAGGTGGTTGTCTTCCATATTTCTTAGCACAACTTATTGAACATATCCAGGGACAGCATTTATTGATTATGTCAATCGGCATGCCATCAAGTCTTGGGGTCTTGTTTTTTGCCAGTTCTTTCAGAGCAGCTTGAAGTTCTTCCTTCATCACCACATGCTCTTGCTCATACGTTGTTTCATGATATTCTTCTGTGGTACAATGACTTTGTATATTCTTTCCATCTTCTTTTAATGTCTCCTGTAT